TTCCTGGTGCCGGTCAAGTCCTCTTTGAACAAGCAATATCTGGAACCTTTTTGGAATTGGGTCAAGTTCAACAATGCCTGGGTCAAAGAAGGGACAGAGTGTCTTGGATGCAAACAGGAAAGTAAGTCATGGTGACTTGTCTGTTAATTGTAACGATGTGTCTGATGTTAAGCATGACATGGTTGATGTTACTGTTTCGCCGTTCAGGGATAATAGGAACATCAAACTCCCTAAATTTGAACCACGATGTTTTGATGGAAACCCGGCTGATTATTTACAATTTGTAAAGGAGTTTGAGATCATGTTGAGTGGTTTTTTATTAAATGATGAATTGAAGTTAATGTATTTGATGAGATATTGCACTGGAGATGCTGCAAGAGCTATACAGTGCTGTAAGTTTATGAAGCCAAAAGAGGGCTACGATGAGGCTATGAGCATATTACGTCAAAGGTTTGGAAGACCTTCGATGATTGCAGGGAAATTATTCGAGGCTGTTAAGGGTAATGGTGGTCAATTACAGGATGACTCCCAGGCACTCACTGAGTTTTTTGATAATTTGCTAATTTACAAGAATGGAATGATTTCGATGAATTGCATGAGTGACCTCAACTCGAGTTTTATACTAGAAGTAATAGCAAGACGTCTACCTACTAGACTGCAAAGGAAGTGGGTGAAGATGAGCTCCCGTATGGAGGATGAGGGTATCGAGCCAAAGTTTGATGATATCCTGAAACTGGTAAATACTAGTGTCAATCAATCTATGAGCAAGTTCGCCAGTCTATTACATCTCACCCCTAGAATAGAGCAGTCTGAGATCAAAATGCAATCATTGATGACGAGTAGGCCTCAGAGAGGTGGATATCGAGAAAGCTCCATGATGTCTAGTAATGCATATAGACCTAGTGAGTGTAACAGGTTTCGTAGTACATCCTCAACTGATAGGTTACAAGATGCAAGACAAACACGGTTTTGTTTTACACGTGTGCAAGAGGTGCATACAGAAGTGAACTGTGAACCGGTGAGCAAGTTCAGCGATAAGCTAAATGTAAACTCCAGACCTGACTCCGAATTGTGTGACGATAACGGTGTTGTGAAGAAGTCTGTAGTTGCAACTGGTAAGCCGTTGTTGAATAGAGTGTCACAGAATAGAGTTACTGCTTCAGAGTGGAGTTCTGACCCTACAAGTTTACAAGGTATAACTAGTCAGAGTGAAGTTATAAAACCTTTTATGATTTGCGAGGAGGAACCAAAATTGTCTACTTCTGTTATTAAAGAGTTTGAAAATGATGAAGTTGACGGTAAAGTGAATATTCGTGATAATGATCATGATACTTCACAGTTGTCTTTGGTTGATCATTATGAGATGAGGGATATGCCTACTACTGCTAAGTTAAATAAAGGTTCTGTACAACTACAACGTGAAGTAGAATTGAACGCAGATGCAGTTCCAAAAGGTGTGCATACTTGTGAGACAGTCAGTGTAATTGATCAGCGTGTAGCCCACCTATCATCAGATGATAGTGCTAAACCCGAACTAGTAGTGAAAGACAGCAGTGGTGGTAATCTTGCAGTTGGACAACTATCTGAGAGCCGAACAAGAACAGCTTCTGATCCACCACTAAGTTCATCACCTTGTGTCACTCAGTCATCGTTGGTGCTGTCATCCACAATGAAACAGACACCCATCAACTCAAGTATCTTGTGCAATGACTATGGTAGTATCAGTTCGTTTGAAAGGACGAATATCAATGGTCAGTTTAGTGTGGATAAGCCAAGTGTAAAGGAGAGAGTTATTGTTAAATTGACTTGCACGAATAAAGGCATTTCTAGTTTCAAGTTACTATTTGAATGTTATTATCTTTGGTGTAAATTACTCTGTTTCTACACTTGGTTGATGAGATATGTCGTGTGTTTGTTGGTCATCTATATTCTACGATACAATGACATGGGCGTGTTGCCGTTCAGATTTGAGGATATAGCTGATAGAAGGAAGTTAGCAAATGAACTCTGCGACGATTTTCCAACCTAGGGCGTCAACCTGAGAAGGGTTGTAGGCGTACTGCTGTAAGTCCTACAATTCTTCAAAGGGTAGCGCATCAATGAGCAGTCCAATGTGCTTGGTGTGTGATTTTGTACATATGTTCATATTGTATATACTGAATTGATATCATCTGTCATCTAGCTGTTGGTAATTCTGTTTGTGTCCGGACGACTTCCACTTGGATCATCAACCTGAGAAGGAATGTAGGCGTACTGCTGTAAGTCCTACAGTTCTTCAAGGGTAGTTTGTCGTGCCAGAATCCACAACATTTGATGTGTTGATTGTACATATGTTTGTGTTAAATTATTGTGTGAGTTCCAATTAATGTAATTGTTGGTTAATCTTGTTTGTGTCCGGACATTCCACAACTTACAATCGTCAACCTGTGAAGGGTTGTAGGCGTACTGGTGTAAGTCCTGCAATTCTTCAAAGGAATTCCATCAAGACATGATCCGCGAGTTTATTTGTACTGTTTGTGTATACGTGTGGTGTGTCATATCAATTTGTGATTTTGGATTCATTGTGTTTACTCGTTGTTTTCGTACCTTGTTGTTATTGCGTAATTTTGTTAAAATTTTCGTCGTGATTACTTCTGAAGTTGTTTCGAGTCTTCTACATCCGTGAATGAATTGATTGATGTTAGGGACAGCAGATGGGTCGTATACGCCGGGGAGGCTAGGCTATTGCTGAGAATGAAATGCACACGGAGATAATTGTTAGCTGCGGTCCGACACGCCGGGGAGAAAGAGTGTAAACGACTGAGGCTCGCATACGTCACCGTTACTAGAACTGAGGCAGAATGAGTGACAAGCGATTGCAGTGGTAATTGGTAGTGAGTAGATAAGAGGATGTGCGTAGAGTATCGTGAGGTGGTGCTATGGTCACTTTGCATTCTGCAAGAGTCATTCTAGCAAGTGGCGATTGTGTTGCAAGATGTCAAGAGGAGGTCTCTGTCTGGAGGCGCAGGTCGTCATTGATGTGTGAGATTGTGCTGTGGGTATGCTTGTGGTGTGTTGGCTTTTCTGTTTGTTTTCCATTTCAGCTCTGTCCGTGTGACCCAGGTTCTCGCAATGGCATCCAAGTCAACGTGTATTGGTCGTGAAGGAAAAAAGGGTTGGATCCCCTTTTTGGCGGGGAGTGTCAATGGAGTTGAAGATTGAACGATCAATTCATGGTTGTTTGCTCAAAACCAACTTCCCCAATTTTCGCGGAGGCATCAATACGACAGTCATCGTCTCATCGGTCGCTGTTCAGAAAGAAGAGCAAAACACCGTCAGAAGTAATATTGTGATTTATTATTGTAATATTTGTTCACAGACCTTAGTCATACTTGATTTATATGTTGGTGTAACAATAAAGAATCCTCGAGTCAACAATTGGTGTTTTGGTTTTTTCGTCCGTTATTACTAAGCGTTTCTGAGAAACTTCAAGGGACAGCGTGAGCCCGAGCGTAGCAAGAGCTGGGCATTAACGGTTTACGAGACGTGACTGACAGTTTCTGACGGTGAAGTCAGTTTTCGACGGGTTCGCACAGTTGGTAAAAGTTTGGATAGTCACCGTTCATCTTTCCTGGTGCCGGTCAAGTCCTCTTTGAACAAGCAATATCTGGAACCTTTTTGGAATTGGGTCAAGTTCAACAATGCCTGGGTCAAAGAAGGGACAGAGTGTCTTGGATGCAAACAGGAAAGTAAGTCATGGTGACTTGTCTGTTAATTGTAACGATGTGTCTGATGTTAAGCATGACATGGTTGATGTTACTGTTTCGCCGTTCAGGGATAATAGGAACATCAAACTCCCTAAATTTGAACCACGGTGTTTTGATGGAAACCCGGCTGATTATTTACAATTTGTAAAGGAGTTTGAGATCATGTTGAGTAGTCTTTTATTAAGTGATGAATTGAAGTTAATGTATTTGATGAGGTATTGCACTGGAGATGCTTCAAGAGCTATACAGTGCTGTAAGTTTATGATGCCAAATGAGGGCTACTTTGAGGCTATGAGCATATTACGTCAAAGGTTTGGAAGACCTTCAATGATTGTAAGGAACGTATACGAAGCTGTCAAAGGTAACGGCAGTCAACTTCAAGATGACTCCAAGGCACTTACTGAGTTTTTAGATAATCTTATGACTTATAAGAATACCTTGATTTCTATGAATTGCATGAGTGACCTCAACTCGAGTTCAGTCCTAGAGGTAATTGCAAGACGCCTACCTACTCGACTGCAAAGGAAGTGGGTGAAAATAAGCTCTCGTATGGAGGATGAGGGTATCGAGCCAAGGTTTGATGATATTCTGAGACTGGTGAAGGACAGTGTCAACCAGGCGATGGGCAAATTCGCCAGCATTTTGCATTCTAAGGTAGAACCTAAGGAACCAGTGAATATAAGGAAGGCATTTGTGGTGAAGTCTCAAGACACAACGAGAAAGGATGAGTGTATTGTTTGCCATAACATGCATCAATTGAGTGATTGTAATCGCTTTATCGCTATGTCACCCGTAGAAAGGTTAAAAATGGCAAAGCAGAAGCGGCTGTGTTTCAGTTGTTTAAAGATTGGGCATACAAAGTGGAATTGTAAGGCGACAAATGAAAGAAGTAGTGGTTTAACGGATATGCACCCACTTCTGAGGACAGTGAACGAACCTGGGAATTCGGTTAATTGTAATAGTATCTCTAGACCCCTTGACATCCCACAAGTTTTCTTAGGGGTATTACCAGTTAAGGTGAAAGGACCGAAATCTTCAGTAGAGACTTATGCATTGTTGGATAATGGTTCAGACGTTACATTGATAGATGCTGAACTGGCTGGTTGCTTGGGTATTAAAGGCCCAAAGCAACCCTTGGTTGTAAATACTTTCAATTCTGCGAAAACAGTAGTATGTGAGCGAGTGTCATTTCAGTTAGAATCCTTGGCTACTGGGGAGACCGTGGAAGTGGATACTGCTTACACTACCTCCAGTATGAAACTTGGCGAAGCTATAGTACCTAGTCGTGAAACGGTTGTCGGTAAGCCATACCTGTGTGACATACCTCTTCCAACACTGCAAGATGGAAGAGTGAGAGTACTCATTGGATGTAGTGTGCCAGAAGCTCACAAGGTATTAGAAGAGAGATTTGGAGGTAGAGATGATCTGTTCGCGACGAAAACACCACTGGGATGGACAGTGAGAGGACCTATACCCATAGTCCACATATCATCATTAGTTGCAAACGATGGGGACAAACTAGAAACTATGATTAAAAATATGTATGACAAGGAGTTTTGTGACTGCGGTGTCCCAGGGAAGGGTCGTTCTGTAGAAGACTTAAAAGCAGTTAAAATAGCCGAGGAGTCTTGTAAATACGAAAACGGGCGTTTCAGCGTTGGCCTACCATGGAGATTCAAAGATAGACAGTTGGTTTGTAATAGGAAAGTTGCTCTTAAGAGACTAATGGGTTTACAGAAGAAATTTCTGTCAGATGCAGAACTCTGGTCCAAATATAAGGAAGTCGTCGATAAACATATAATGAAGGGTTACGTTGAAAGACTAGTTGATCAGAGTGAGCCAGGGAAGTGGTATTTGCCCCATCATCCCGTCTTTAACCCGAGGAAGCCAGGTAAACTCCGTGTGGTGTTTGATTGTTCTGCGAAACATGAAGGAGTCTCTTTAAATGATAATCTGTATAGTGGCCCAGATTGCGTGAGCTCATTAGTGGGACTGCTATTAAGATTCAGAAAGTTTACAGTTGCTGTCGCGGCGGATATTGAGGAAATGTTCCTACAGGTGAAGGTGCCAGAGAGTGACAGAGATCACTTGAGGTTTTTGTGGTTTGATGACGGTCCTTGTGGTAAGGTGTCAGAATATAGGATGACAGTGCATCCATTTGGTGCCACGTCCTCCCCGTTTTGTGCTAATTTTGCTCTACGAAAGGCAGTGTCCACATTTGGTTCTAATGATTTGCTGGACGTCATAGATTGTTGCTTCTACGTGGATGATTGTTTAGCCTCCTTCGATGATGATAAGTCTGCAGTTAGATTTGCAACAAGCATCACTGAAGTGTTAGCTAAGGCCGGCTTTCGTCTAACTAAGTGGGTCTCGAACAGCCTAGACGTTTTGAAGCATATAGATCCAGAAGACAGAGCACCTACCGTACGAGATTTGCCTGTTGATACTCTACCAGTTGAACGCACATTAGGTATGCGATGGGATGTGAACTCTGATACCTTTGGATTTAGTGTTGGTGATATTGATAAGCCAGTTACTCGGAGAGGTGTGCTCTCTGTGTTGTCGTCCGTGTTTGACCCACTTGGATTAGTAGCACCTTATCTACTTCCGGCTAGGAGGTTATTTCAAGAGACATGCAGGAAAGGGTTACAGTGGGATGAACCATTAAGTGAGAGGCAGAGAGAAGAGTGGAAGGGGTGGGTTAACAGTTTAAGAATGCTGAATCTACATTCCGTCTCACGTCCACTTAAGCCGTCGAGAAATCATGATATAATTGACTTCCATGTTTTTTCTGATGCCTCTGAGGTTGGATTTGGTGCAGCCGTATACATCAGAACCACCTTAAGGAATGATATAGATGTTAGCCTGGTGATGGGTAAATCTAGAGTTGCACCTCTAAAGACGGTTTCGATTCCGAGATTAGAACTTAATGCAGCCTTACTAGCTGCGCAGTTATTCACAACGGTGTGTAAAGAGTTGGATTACCCCAAGCATCCCGTAACGTTTTGGACTGATTCGATGTCTGTGATATATTATATACGCAACGAGTCAGCAAGATATGCATGTTTTGTAGCTAACAGAGTATCTCAAATTCGTGAACTAACAACTGTTGAGCAGTGGAGGTACGTACCGTCTGGAAAAAATCCAGCTGATCTAGCCTCGCGAGGAGTTATTGATATGAATGTGGTTAAAAATAAGTGGTGGAAAGGTCCAGAGTTCTTGCTAAGGGCTGATAGTATGTGGCCTCGTAGAGAAGATGAACCACCGATAAACGAGTGTGCCTTGGAGTTGAAGACAAGTGTCAGTTTAACATCTACTCAAGAAAGACATTCAGGTTTACATCCACTTTTTAAATATTATTCTTCTTGGTACAAACTACTGAAAGCTGTTGCGTGGTTGACACGATATGTTACGTATTTAAAGGTCATGCATCTTGCGGGATACGAAAATATGAATGTGGGGCCTTTGAGAGTCGAAGATATTAGAAATGCAGAGTTAGCGATTTTGAGGGCTGCTCAGTGGGAAGCGTGGGGTGAGATTGCCAAGGAGGATAGTCCCGATTTCGCAGATTTCAAGGTGCGGTTAGATAGATTATCTCCGATAGTTTCCGAAGGGATCGCTAGAGTTGGTGGACGTCTACAAATGTTAGAATCGTCATATGAGACCCGTCATCCGGCTTTATTACCTTGCTACCATCCAGTCACTGATCTCATTATAAGACACTACCATGTTCTTGAAGGTCATTTGGGTACTTCGCAAGTACTATCAAGTATTCGATGTAAGTTCTGGATAGTGAAGGGAGGTACCGCTGTCCGTAAAATAATTGATAAGTGCATGGAATGTAAACTCCGAAATGCTCGTCCAGTACAGCAGATGATGGCACCACTCCCAGCGTGGCAAGCTTCTGAAGGGAATTATCCATTTGAGTACGTTGGGGTGGATTTGTTCGGACCTTTTGTAGTGAAGAGAGGCAGAACCCTATGTAAAAGATATGGCTGTTTATTCACCTGTTTGAAAATGAGAGCTGTGCATATTGAGATGGTTCATACGCTAACTACTGATTCATTCGTGCTAGCATTACATAGATTTATAAATCGCCGGGGTGTACCGAAGATGATGTTCAGCGACAGAGGGACTAATTTTGTTGGCTGTCACGCCGAGCTTAAAGAGTACTTCGAAGGTCCCCAAACGAGAGTTCAGGAAGAGTTACTGAAAAGGAACATCGAGTGGCACTTCAACCCACCACATGCCAGCCATAGAGGCGGGCTATGGGAAAGACTTATAGGAATTATCAAGCGTATTTTAAGCTCCATAATTAAAAACCAGAGTTTGAATGACGAAACGCTGGAGACATTTTTTTGTGAAGCTGAACGAATATTAAATGACCGGCCGTTATCACCTGTGAGGGACGACGTCAAGGATTTTGATGTGTTAACCCCAAATAAATTATTGTTATTGAGAGGCAACCCTGGCATAGAGGACTCAAGCGGGGAAGGAATACCTACGATTAAAACATGGAAACAAGCCAGGCTCATAAAAGATATATTTTGAAAAAGATGGTTAAAGGAGTATGTTCTAACACTGCAAACCAGAGACAAGTGGGAAAAGTTGTGCCGAAACCTAAAGGTTGGTGACATAGTATCAGTAGCATATAAATGTGCCACAGGTAGATGGCCTTTGGGAGTGGTAGAAAGGCTACTCTGTAGTGGTGATGGATTGGTGAGGACGGTTGAGGTGAGAACAAGTTGTGGCATGTTGGTGCGAGATGTAAGAAAACTGTGTCCACTGGAAGGTTCTGAGAGTAGAGAGTCGGAGGATGAAACACTAGACGATTTTCCAACCTAGAGCGTCAACCTGAGAAGGAATGTAGGCGTACTGCTGTAAGTCCTACAGTTCTTCAAAGGGTAGCGCATCAATGAGCAGTCCAATGTGCTTGGTGTGTGATTTTGTACATATGTTCATATTGTATATACTGAATTGATATCATCTGTCATCTAGCTGTTGGTAATTCTGTTTGTGTCCGGACGACTTCCACTTGGATCATCAACCTGAGAAGGAATGTAGGCGTACTGCTGTAAGTCCTACAGTTCTTCAAGGGTAGTTTGTCGTGCCAGAATCCACAACATTTGATGTGTTGATTGTACATATGTTTGTGTTAAATAATTGTGTGAGTTCCAATTATTGTAATTGTTGGTTAATCTTGTTTGTGTCCGGACATTCCACAACTTACAATCGTCAACCTGTGAAGGGTTGTAGGCGTACTGGTGTAAGTCCTGCGATTCTTCAAAGGAATTCCATCAAGATGTGATCCGCGAGTTTGTGTGTACTGTTTGTATATATGTGTGGTGTGTCATATCAATTGGTGTTTTTGGATTCATTGTGTTTACTCGTTGTTTTCGTACCTTGTTGTTATTGCATAATTTTGTTAAAATTTTCGTCGTGATTACTTCTGAAGTTGTTTCGAGTCTTCTACATCCGTGAATGAATTGATTGATGTTAAGGACAGCAGATGGGTCGTATACGCCGGGGAGGCTATTGCTGAGAATGAAATGCACACGGAGATAATTGTTAGCTGCGGTCCCACACGCCGGGGAGAAAGAGTGTAAACGACTGAGGCTCGCATACGTCACCGTTACTAGAACTGAGGCAGAATGAGTGACAAGCGATTGCAGTGGTAATTGGTAGTGAGTAGATAAGAGGATGTGCGTAGAGTATCGTGAGGTGGTGCTATGGTCACGTTGCATTCTGCAAGAGTCATTCTAGCAAGTGGCGATTGTGTTGCAAGATGTCAAGAGGAGGTCTCTGTCTGGAAGGCGCAGGTCGTCATTGATGTGTGAGATTGTGCTGTGGGTATGCTTGTGGTGTGTTGGCTTTTCTGTTTGTTTTCCATTTCAGCTCTGTCCGTGTGACCCAGGTTCTCGCAATGGCATCCAAGTCAACGTGTATTGGTCGTGAAGGAAAAAAGGGTTGGATCCCTTTTTTGCCGGGGAGTGTCAATGGAGTTGAAGATTGAACGATCAATTCATGGTTGTTTGCTCAAAACCAACTTCCCCAATTTTCGCGGAGGCATCAATACGACAGTCATCGTCTCATCGGTCGCTGTTCAGAAAGAAGTCAGCAAAACACCGTCAGAAGTAATATTGTGATTTATTATTGTAATATTTGTTCACAGACCTTAGTCATACTTGATTTATATGTTGGTGTAACAATAAAGAATCCTCGAGTCAACAATTGGTGTTTTGGTTTTTTCGTCCGTTATTACTAAGCGTTTCTGAGAAACTTCAAGCGACAGCGTGAGCCCGAGCGTAGCAAGAGCTGGGCATTAACGGTTTACGAGACGTGGCTGACACTAGCATATGATTAGATTTCAAAAAGTAAAGTTTGAGCAGTCTCTCATCTCCGGAACATCTGTCAACATTGAATACTGCCATTAAAATATTAAGCAAACGACACAAGGAACGACGATGAGTTGTCTTCAAAGGAGAACTAGCTAAGATGTCCAAACAACAATCTGAAGAAACCCTAAATGATTGCGTAGTAAATCAATCGCAACAACCATTATCGAAAACAGAGGAACAACTTCTTCAGAAAGGAGTGAACTACAATACTGGTGATGCTTCAGCAACAGATTTCTCTACCTCCTTATAATCAAATGAGGAAATACAGCAAGAAATATGTCAATGTATCATGCCTATAATCAAACAGAAAAGACGCAATTCACAACTTGGCACTGAAGAGCAAAATGCATTGAAAAAACTGAAGAATAGAAAAGATATAGTTATTCTACAGGCTGATAAAGGAAGAACAACAGTAATCCTGGACACAGAAGACTACATGAAGAAAGCAGAGGATTTACTCAAAGATAATAATAATATACTTTTTTCCTGTTTATGCAGGAACATACCAATTGTACAGGCATGGATAAGTTATTATATAAATTACACATAATTTGATGTATGATGAATTTACAGTTCGGTTGTTCCCTCTGACATGAGAGTCAGTCGGAACAGTCTTCTATAAAGTCTGTTTGTGTGGCACATAAAGAGATATAGAAATATTGTCTTCGCATTAAAAAAACACCCAGACATCAGATGAATGTAATACGGATATCTGGGAAAAAAAGCTTGAATGTATAACAATAAAAATAATGTATAAGTATACGTCGGTTTAATGTGAGAATGAACGTCGCTCATAATGAATCTTCTCTGTACGTCCTTCTCCTGCTCATTTTCTTATCACCACATCACTGTTTGAGTAGTAAAGACGACTGACTAACTAATTCATGAATGCATTTATCATCTGTCTGCACAGACACTCAGGATTCACAGCATCACTCTTGTCTATCTGAGAAACGACTTCTCCGTTGTAAGAGATTGCAGATAAAATAATGCATAGGCATCTCTACAGTCGTTCAAAAATCGTCATATTCTCTATCTGAAGGCGGAGTTCTACTGTCGACTCAGAAGTATGGAGTGTC